CATCGACGCGGGGCCCATATGGGTGGGCCCACATGCTTTGACGCCGGGGGGGCCCAATTCACTGTTCTTTAAGGTCCAAATGGTCCTCACACACACACACACACGCACAGGCACACATTTTTCTTCTTTATTTTTATTTATATATTAGCATTGGAAAACGTTCTAGAAGTGTGTGCCCCACACCTTTCGTATTTGTCGGTAGAAAATGATGAATATAATCGCTCCAAAATTGAAAATCAGTATTCATTAACCTTTAAGAGGGTATTATAGTCTAGCTTGTTATAATTATATATTTGTATTTACTTATACCATTCTATTTCATGCACCTTCCAGTTCCACCCACCTGCCTTTGAGTAAAATTATCCAACTAATATTTACTCAGCGTTAACTTTTATGGGTAGTTATTATGACATGTTTATTACAAGAAAAATAGAGAGAAATATAGAATTTTTTTTAATGATTTTAATTTAAAAAATAAAAAAAATGATGTTAAGAGTTTTCATTAATTTTCCTTACCGTTCTTCTTACATCCTCTTCTATTAAAGTTTTATAATCCCATTTATTTATTTTTTAAGTTAAACTCATTAAAATGTTTTCTTTCACTTCCCATATCCACCAACTAAACAGAAAATTGGTGTCCCAGTGCATTGGATGGGCTGCAAAATTTAGATTTTTGTATGCATAGTTTGTTTTTATAATTGCTAACTTGACTTTCACAACTACAATAAATTATTTTTCCGCCAACTAATAATTATAATAATTTTTTTAGTTCCTTAAGTTTGTTGTATACGTATGCCATTTTTATGAAGAGATTGCTTGAACTTGACATTAAAGTTCGTGATATATTCTTGTTCTCTTGTTGAGTTTTCGTTTTGTATTTGTATTTTTCAAAGCGTGTTTTGATTTGTTGCTGTGCATATATTTGACTATCAAATCCTTTGTCAAGAAAAAATAAGTTAACTTATATCTCGTTTGTATTAAGGCCTCCAAATACGTAGCATTAAAAATGAGAGATGATAATTGTGATAGGAATAAAGACAGCTTACTAAAAAAATATTTAGTATGCGAGATTAGTTATTACATGAAATTAAACAAACCTACACAAATAGAAATTGGGAAATACCAAAATACCACCTCTCCATGCTATTTCTTATTTTCATCTATATGAGTTTCCTAATTTAAAGTAACAACAATCACTTATATTTAATATTCTTTTGCTGAATTTTCTCAATCCCAATTATAATTCTTACATTTCATTTATGATATTTCATACTAAAGAGGATCTAAGGTATTCCCAAATTCTTTTTTAGATGTAGAGATCAAAATAGCAAGAGAAATAAATATAAAAAGATATTGATGAAAAACAGCAGAAGATTACAGTCCCTTCTTGGGCCCTTCTATGAACAATTTAAAATTGGCTTTTTAATATATCACTCAAATAAATTTGTATTAAGTTGAATATTTTTTTTAAATGATTAATCTGAACATAAATCGTATCATAATAATTAGCTTTTACCTCAACATCAGTCATCAATTCTCATGTTCATCGAGGGATTTTTTCCCCAAAGAATTTGAGGAGGGAAACACAAAGGAAAAGTGGAAAACCCTTTATATTTTATCCTTTCAAAAGAAAAAGGACCAGGCATAATGAATATGGTCCATACAAGAAAATCACAGCATCAAACTTTTTTTTTTCTTTTTTCTTTTCACCTTTTCTTTGATCTTTAAAATTAAAAAAGAGATAATGAAATTGCTTCAAAATATGAAGGCGGCAATAATGAAAATTCAAAATCCCACTCATTACATTACCACCCACATCATAATAATACTGCCCACCTCACAAAGTTAATTGGGTCTAAACTTTAATTATGGTATATTGATTTACACTAAACTCCACTTACCTCTTTTCCCTTATTTTTTTTTTCAATTATGCCAACATGGTTTGAATATTAAGCAATATTCATATTTTATTTCATTTTTATTGTTGAGTATCCCAGATGATCTCCCTCCCTTTCTAAGCTGTGTTAACTTTAGTTTTTTATGGTAGAAAAATACATTTTTGGCATATATAATCTCACCTGATGTCTACTTATGTTCATTTTTTAAATTTATTTTTTCCCCAATATTTTGGATTAATAGAATAGAATACAGACATTTCAAACTACTATCTCCGATCCTAATTATAAGATCTTGTTTGTAGTCTACAAACGAGATTTTATAAATAAAATCGGAAGTAGTATATGCTTGTATACATAGCATAGATATGTTGTTAATTGATGATTGATGATATGAAATTGAAGTTCTCATGATTCACACACCTATTAATTTCATGTTTAAGAAAACCCAAAAAATGTGTTTAGACTCTCATTAATCATTAAATTTCTATTAATTCGCCTATCACGAATAGTATTAATATGGTTGACTTACCATTTATCACTAAGGACCATATTTATATGTTTTAGTTCGTTGTTGATTAAAAAAATATATATAATATTTGCATCAATTTACACTAATTATAATACCAGGTCTTATCTCCATTATAAAAGTCGGTAATATAAGTCAAAAATCGTGACAAGGCCACATTAAAATTGCATATACACCCCACGCGTGCGTACAAATATAATACTTTTATTAAAATTATTGACAATTAAGTTATAAAAATAACAAGGTTTCCTTAAGTTTAACATTATACAGTTTATTTGATCGCAAAAAAATTGTACAATTTATTCCGTTACGATATACTTACAAGTCTGTATATTATGATTTTATTAAATAATGTATTTTTCATCAAAATTGGCGTCCTTGTCTCTATCCTCTCTCTTTCGTTCAAGTGAAAAAAACGAATGAGGGTCAAAAGGTATTATCTTGTATAGGCATGACTTTTTTTTTAATTTAAAAAAAGGCATTTCTTCCAAATCATCATCATCAATATAAAATATGAAAAAAAATCACAATATTTTTCCTTATAAAAATCATATTAATTATTCACACATGGTAAGTTATAATATTTATTTTAAATTTGGTATGGATACGCATGATGTATTTTAGCTCATATACTGTACAATGTAATCCAAAAAAATGAATTAATATATCTTAGATTTTAAATTTTATTCCTTCTAGTTGGCAAAAAAAGTTATTCCTTTTAATTTAATACTTTTATTTTATTTATAAAAATAAAATAAATTATAGGAATAAAATAACTTCTCAAGTATATCATCATTACAGCTCTCAGCCATGTATTCACCTCAAATTTCATGTAATATGCATGAAAATATATCTAATTATTCAACCGGAGGGCTATTCACCAATTATTATTAATATATAAATATAAATATATTGACATTCATTTTTGACACGGATATGTAATATGTACAATAATATTGTTCGGATCCCTGACATACCAAAAGATTGTTGAAGTAGTAGACATTCTGGTATTTTAGAATCATAAAATGGTGTAATTTTACATTTTTAATGACTTTTTAAAATTAAAACTATATTTTAAAAAAATTCAGAACCATCAAATTTTCCTGCCTATTCTTTGAAATGGGTTGGGTACAATTCCCCCACTAATAGCAGGGACGATGTTTTGTGGTGGGGGAGACTGGTGACTTCTCCGATGGTGGAGCACGTATGAATGAAATGAAAGGAAATTGCAAAAACGTCAAAAACAGAAAATGGTGACACCTCAAACTTTTTCGTATGCGCATGATGGGCCCACCAATCCATCGTTCCCCAACTGTCACGTATTCTTCTTCTTCTACTGTCTGTCACCCACAACGACATTCTAATGCCTCCCTCTTTCTCACCATCGCCAATTCTCTCTCTATCTTTCTCGTCATGTATACTCCTTTCTTCTTTTTGCTTTGGTTTTATGAGTCTTCAATGGCTACCCGTATCAAAATCTTGCGTAAAGAAATCAGGGGTCGGTGCTAGATGAGCATTTCCATCTCTTTTTGGCTGTCAAAAGATACCCAAAAGCTAAAGTCTTAGTCTTTTTCTTTTAGGGGATAAACTTACTTGTATGGTACTGAATTTGCTGTTCTGGAAGAATGTGTTGTCATGAGGTACTTCTCAAGGCATATTTCAACCCGGGTTTTTAAGTTTCAAGCAGGAGAGAGCTAATGTCAAGGATTAAAATGATGTTTTTTGGCCGTATGTGTTAGAATTTCTGAGGATGATGCAATAGTTGGAGTTTTCCGCTGCTCTATCCCCTGTTTGTTCAGTAGTTGAAGAAGTTGAATGCCCCATTCATCGGTCATCGAGAAGGTTGCACAGAAGAAAATCTGCTTTGGATTGCCGATTGTGGGAATCGTATATGATAGGAGCTTTCGATGTAATTATCGAACCTTGTTTTGGTTGGTTGATCAGAATTCTTGAGTGCTAATCATTTTTATGAACAAATTAAGCTTTGAAGACGATGTTGTGATCTTGCCCGGGCTTATCTTCAGATGGAATAGGGTTGATTGCTGACAGTTTCAATTCCAAAGGAAGCTACAACAAGGTGATTTCTTAGCAGATTCATCAGCATACGTCTTTTACTTCTTTACCATGTTGACTGTTGAGTCAAAGGTTCCCATTTCATATTTCTATTTTTCAACTTTCATATGATTTTTCCGTTCTCATCAAATCTAATGCCTAAAATTGGTAATCAGTTTCTACTTCTAGTTCCAGCTACAACCATTTTGTGTGCAAATCCATATCTTTGTTCCCCGTCAGCCGGGTGATCGAGTTTGAAAATTATCATAATGTTTCTGAGCAATCAATTGATGAATTTAAAAAACATGTTTATGCACCGAACTTACCTTGTCTGCGTCCATACGAGTGTCTTCTTCTTCTTCTTCCTCCCCTTCACGGACAATATGGCAGTTTTCCACAGTCCTATAGTTTTAGGGCGTTAGACAGATCAGTCATGTGTATTTACTTCATGATTTTGTCAATCAAACAGGTTTTGCAAGAGCAGGGTCCAAGTGATAAAGAAGAAAGTTGTGTTCGAGACCAAAATGGGAAAGAGGTCTCAAAAACGTCCTAAGAGGAATAAGAGGGATCATTCGGGATGCATGTGGGGCTTGATTAGTATATTTGATTTCCGCCATGGTCGCCCGGCTCAGAAGTTGATTACGGATGCTCGGTACAGCAGCAAGCATGCTGTTGGCGAGAAAAGTGAGAACTGTACTTAATTTATGTGTTTGTGTTCCAAAACGGACAGATATTCTAAATTACCTGAGAATTATTCCGCCAAGAATATATTATATATAGCAAGCAAGACTTGTATATATAAGATGGTGGATAATTTGGGCTGGATAAACGATTTGACAGACCTTGTCTTATATTTCACAAGTTTTCTAGAGTCACATTCGCCTTTAGAAGCAATTTTGTTTCTAGTCTCTGTATTCCAATTTATTTTAAGTGAACTGCTTCGTGGAGAATACTCTTTAAAATTGAAGCATGGTTGGTGAATAATTTTTGGTACATCCTCTTTAAACTCATGAAAAGGAGTTGAAATAATTGTTGAACCTCATTATTTCCTTACTACACAGGTATTGTGCATTCGAAGAATAAGTTTGAGATGTTAAGCAATTTGGATGAAGATTGTGAGAGCGACTTTGTAAGTCTTTACATCCATATTCTTATGCAAACCTGAAACTCACAGAAAATTGAAAATTTTCTAGGAAATTAATAAAATATTAAGTAATTTGGTTACAGGATGTCTATATATTCATTGACATTACGAATCATGAATCTGTCAGGATGGTAGAGAGAGCAAGAGAACAACGGTTACAACTGATGCTGTTAAGCCTTGCGTGAAGAAACTCATAGAAGAAGAGATGTTGATTAACCAGGATATGAAGAAGAATATACGTAGTGTTGAAGCAGAATCAAAAGAATCCAGATTAAGGCTTCCAAGTCCCCTGAAGACAGATTCCAAGAGAAAAAAGAAATCTCGCAAGAAAAGCCATGATATGGATGCAGAGAGTTTGAAGTCTGATGCAGCTTTTGAATCAGAGCTCTCACATAATCAGCATTCAAGGCATCAGTCCAAAAGTAGTCTTGATTTGGACAATATAATGGATGGTTTTTCTCGTTTTAAAGATGCTTGTTCTGTGGTGGGTGACCATGATGGCGAAGTTCTTGCTCAACCGAATGAGAATGTTACGGCCGAAAACAATGCCAAAGACGCAATCTATGATTTTGTTAACCGGATCATATATGATGAAAAAAATCTGCCAGAAGATGAAAAACTCGTTTGCTCACAGGAACTCATGCAAGTACTTCAGGTTATAAGTTCAGATAAGGAATTATTTCTTAGGCTTTTACAAGATCCAAACTCACTTTTAAGGAAACATGTTCAAGAGCTGGGGAATGCTCAGGGGACAGATTTCAAAGAATACAACCCATTACTGGCTTCAACATGTCCAAACAAGAACCTAGCAATCAGAGACAAACCACAGAGATTGTCAACAACAAGCAGCGTAACGTTTTTTGGAAAAAGGTAATGCCTCAAGAAAAAAGCCCAGCAAAAGGAAATGACAACACTGGGTCTTCCAAGAGAATTGTTATCTTCAAACCCAGTCACATGGACCTGCCATATTCAGAAACTGACAACAGTCTTGCCTCATCCTTAGATTCTCATGATATAAACGATCCCAAAGGTCACCATGTTAGAGTTAGTTCACATTTTTCTCTCGCAGAGATAAAAAGGAAATTGAAACATGCTATGGGAAAGGAGAGGCATGGATACCCTAGAGGGATCTCCCAAAAACACTCTATTGAGTGTCAAAATATGGAACAAGGCAGCAAAGTCTTTGGAAAAGACAACAATGGAATGAAATCTCCCAATAAGGACCATTTCTTCATTGAGAAAATAGCAAGACCCACATCTGATGCTAAGAAAGGAGACAAGGCTGGTAAATTGAGAGACACTGAGGTGACCACGGAACTGAAAAATGACAGGTGTCTCAAGCAAAAGGATTCCAACTTGTACACTGAGGCCAAGAAACATCTGCATGAGATTCTGGGTAACGGAGATGAAAACATGGATTTTTCAAGTCGGCAGATCCCAGAAACCCTGGGGAGAATTCTAGCTCTTCCTGAGTACAACCTTTCTCCCATTGGAAGCCCTGGAAGGGAGCATGAACATCGCTTTGTGACTGCACAGACAAGATTTTCTACTACGGAAAACATTCAGGAGGCTAATGAGGATCTTCATGCCGTTGCTCTTGGTCATCCAGATCAAGCAACAAACAATCCAGAGAAGCCGTCGTGCATTATGAATCTAAATCCCCCAGCTATTCTTACTCATGATGATAAAGTGGAAGGAACCTGTTGTCATCCTGTTAGGAATGAGATAGTTCCTGAAGGTATGGTGTTCAAAGTACATATATTTAAGTGATAGATGGATGCTATGAAAAACTTCACTTTGCGCCTATTTTTAAAATGTTATATTATTTGTTCCTTCACAAAGTTAGGGCAGATATTGTTGGATCTACTAGGGAGGTTAATAATTTGGATTTTCCCTGTAAATCTGTAGATTTAATAACAAGAAAGGACCAAAAATGTGACTCTGAGATTTCTCATGGCTCAAGACCTTCTCTATGTTTGAATCAGGTAACGTCTTAACGTTTCTTTGCATAAAACTTATGTATATAAATAAATATATATATATATATATATATTCCTGCTATGCTAGTTACAAGAATTTGTGCTGAATCAAAATTTCATTTGAATCAAGGTTAATTTTATGCTCGTTCCAGAAGTGTAGTAAGGATAAGTGATGATAGGCTTCCTAGCAAGGGGGAAAAAAAATTCATGTCTTTTTCTTTGGCGGAACAATTCCATCACAGCAAGATGCCATTTTGACTGTCTCACTATCTTTTATTCCACTCTATAGGAAATCTCAGAAGAAAATCAACAGCTATTTTCTTCTCCATCATCATCTCCTTCTCACTCTTCAATCACAAGGAAAGTTGCAGGGATGGAAAGTGGTTCAGATGAATCTGAGCGACCGAGCCCTGTGTCCGTTCTTGAGACACCATTTGATATCAGCCCTGGGAATACCATATCTGAACCTGGTATGCGTTCACGCAAGAGCCACAAGGATAATATTAGAACACTTCTTTAAACAAGTTAGCAAAAACACAAAAAGCACTATTTTTCAATCTGTAAAACTGTGGCAATATGTTATTTCTAATTGTCTCATTGACTTCCATCTTAATACGAGATAGAAAATAGCAAGCTGGTTTCCAAGTGAAAACTCTATATCATATTTCATTTCATAATACTTCTAAGTATATTTTAGAAAATTGTTTGGTTGCATGAAGTCTTTTTTCCCCTGCAGGCAAACAAAACTTACAATTGCTTTAAGAAAATGGCCAATCAGCCCGTAAACTTCTCCGTTGCATATCTTCATTGTTATATTAAAATTAACCTAACGTTAGATTCACTATTGATTTTCAGATAAAGTACCAGTGCAGCCCTTACATATTCAGTTTGAAGATCATAACTCTTCACCTTTGGATCAAATTGAAGGAGGAAAACTTTGTACTGAAGAAAGCAAGTTGGTATTTGACTACGTTGAAGCAGTTCTGCACTCCTCTGGCTTAAATATAGATCAACTGAGAATCAAGGACCTTTCCTCAAACCAAATACTGGATCAATCCTTGTTTGATGAGGCAGGGTTTTTCCCTAAACACATTTGTCATGATCAGAAACTCCTATTTGATTGCATCAATGAAGTGCTTGTGGATGTTTGTCGGCATTACTTTGGGATACTCCCTTGGGCGTCATTCCTGAAACCTAGCATGAGGCCAAAACCAGATATGAAGAAGGTTGTTCTTATGGTCTGGCAAAGAGTGTGCTGGCATCTCCTTCCCTTTCCTCGGCCACATACTTTGGATCAGATCGTTCAAAAAGACGTGGCAAGAAGTGAAACATGGATGGACCTTCGGGGTGATGCTGCAACAGTTATTATTGAGATGGGTGATGCTATTTTTGCAGAACTGATGGAAGACACTGTATTCAGTTGTGTAAGTGAAAGCCTAGAAAGTGAATCCTCTCAACTTCAATCTAAATTGCAGGAAGATTAAATCCGCATCAACATGTAGAGGATAATCGATCACCACTTGTTCATCCCAACAGATAAATTCCCTGGTGAAGGTAAAGGAACGTAGGGAAGTTATACATTATGCTTCAAGGGAAAGAATTTGATAAGACTGCTAGAGAATTTTGGAGATTCCTAAGCAGTGTTTCTCTTGGCCATGTCTGACTTCTCTGATTAGTGGTTAGAATAGTGCGAAGGTGGATATTCAAATAAGCAAACAGAATTTTAGTTGGGAATGCTTGAAAAAAATACAGAATAACACTTTTATACTTCTGTCCATTGTGCTTCACTTAATCTAGCGTGAGTCGAATTGCTGGTGAAATTGTAGATTTTGTAGAGTTTCATATGTTGATAACATGATTTTGCATTTCTTAAAATTGGTGGGAATCCTCTTTGCACTCTTTTTGGCCCTATTTTCCCAACGCTTTAACAAGGTCGGAAATAATAAATAGCGAGTCCAATTTAGCTCGGGTTCTTGTTTTTAGACCAAAAGTTGAAGAGAAAAATCACAAAATGCCAATAATACCCAAACAACCTGAATGACTTGAAGACTTGCTTGAAACGAAGATTGGAGTTTTTAAAAGCAACTTTTTAATTGTAATTTGCAAAATACGAGATAAATATATAACAAAAATTCTAATATTCATTTATATAAAACTCTTTATAAACACTTAAAACCCATTTAAAATGGCTTACAAATAATTTTTTTATTGTAATTCACAAAATACAAAATAAGTATGTAATTTACAAGTCACGTGCTTATAATCATGACACATGCTTATACACACTCACATCACTTACGCGGACGAATTTATCCAATGCGGGGCTCAAGGCTGCCACAAGGGATTAACTTGGCTTAGTTTCGAAGAAAAGAAATATGTACATACATATATTTAAATTAAGGAATTTGCAACATAAACGAACATAATGTATTGCTCATCAGTTAAATGGACGCAAAACTGCAATTAGATATTAATCTCATGAAGCATATAACCTAAATTACATGAAATATCATTACCTTACCCAAAAAATTACAGTAAATGCCTATACAGTTTCTAAATGCAAGGCGTTCAGTGGAAGCCATCAAGCCGAATGTAGTTAACAAGTTATATAGCCATCAAAGGTAGCAAGGAACAACTATGAAATGTTTCGTTATTTCCTCTTCTTATTTCCCAGAATCATTGAGGGCAAAGGACGTGGTGCTGCCTTTTTCATAAATGAACTACTTCTGCTATCTTCGTCCGCGTTGTCGTCTTCATCTTCAACATCTCTTTGAGATGATCTAGAATCCTCAGCAGCTTTTCTTTTTCTGGCATCCAACTTAGCATATAACTTCCGTTCAACAGGGTCATCTGAGGGCACCACTTTGGATTGGCGGACAACTTTTGCACCAAGGCCAAGCCTATACAGATTGCAACAACAGTTATAATGGTGAAAGAACGTTTATAATACAAACTTGCAAAAGTTGACATGGTGAACAATTTAAAGATGGAACTCATACTGAGCACAGACCTAGGAGGCCGACCCTCTTTGCCGGCATCTGTTGGTTCATCATCTTCAACTTTGCTCATGTTATTTACCCATACCTCGGCCTGCCAATTAGAATGATTAACAATTAATCACCAGCATTACCCAGCAAATTACAATATTTCACACAACATCTGACCATAATCAAACCCTCTGAACCTCAAATCTCAACCTTCACAAAAAGGAACTTAGGAAGCAAAAATGTTTGACCGCAGTTTGTGACATTATTAAAATGTTAGATATTTGAAATGTATTTTTGCTTGATTTCTTTTTCCCACAAGTCATAAGAATCCAAATATCATATACCAACAATGTCATTACCAATTCCATGCTTATCATTCAGCAAAACTCCTGGAAACCATTGCGAATCTTAAGCCCGTAATATCAAAAGCTTCAAGGTTTTGCAATGACTGTCAAAACAACTGTAGTGTACACTAGCAAGCAATATAAGTCCATTTTCAAGGCTAATATGTTACAGTTACAATTATGATGCTGAACCGCTACCTATACATAGTGAAATTTTAAATACATAAACATATGATCGATTGAACATGCCATCTCATTATTAACTTTTAAGGGTCAGAAATGCGCGATTCTACTCATGCCTAAATTATAGCTTCAATGAACATGCAATATAGATATGGAAAACATATCAATCAACAAGCATACAACACAAATATATAACAAATCATTATAGTTCATAAGGATGTTACGGTGAAATTTAAAAATGAAAAAAAAGCATTTACCAGTTTCAATGCCTTGTCCAACTTAACAATTCGGGGAAGAGAAGAACCCTTCTTCGAAGGCTCTGCAACACTCATCTCAGCTTCTTGGGGTCGTAACCAACAAAAGCATTTATTAACCGACCTGGAAAGGAAAACCAATTGCATATGAAATAGAGAAATCGAGAGGGAGCAATCAATCTTTAATTTAAAAAAAATAAAGTTCCAAGTTTCAACAGAACTTGAGACCAGGAAGCTCAATAGAGAAATCGTGAGAGGAGATCCGAAACGGAATCTGGAAGACTAGAATTAAACAACAAAAAAAAAAGAAAGAGGGGCAGCAAGAAAAAACAGGAGAAGAAGAAAAGCAAGGCAATGGGGAAATATATAACAGAACCTGGGTGGTCGACGGCGGCTAACGGAGCTCCGCTGGCGTCTACTACTCCCGATGCGACGACGAAGATAAAAGCAGGTCTTCGAGGATATATGTTATGGTGAACTGACCGAACGAGAAACGACGTCATTTTGATCCTGTTTTGCCAAATAAATTAAAAAATAGGAAAAATCCCAATAATTAAAGCCTTTAACAAATTCTTAATGACGACATGAGGTCTAATTAGAAATTTTTTAATATTATTAAATGATTAGAATTTTTTTTAATTAAAAATAAAAATTGATTATTTGATCCCTCTCAAGTGGTTTATTATCTCTTATTATTAATATTTAGATGAAAAATATATAAATAACTTTTTGGTGTTTGAAATTTAATTCAAATTCAGGCCTACATTTTTAATAAATTCTTAATCAGGATTTGAGGCCTAATTAAAATTAATATTGTTGAATAATCAGAATACGGTTCTTCAATTAAAATTAAAAATTGACTATTTTGTTCATCCCTCCTAAATAGTTCATCATCTCTTATTATTAATATTTAGATAAAAATATATAAATAATTTTTCAGTATTTGAAATTATGTATCTATAACTAACCCTTTAAAATATTTTAACAAACCATTTTTAGTATAATATATAGTTTTTAAAGAATTTTTTTTAGGTTGTATATATTTATCCTTAGATTTTAAAATATTTTAATTACATTTTCGGTTGGATCCAACATTAATCAAATAGATAAAACTAATATAAATTATAAGAACTGAAAACAAACAAATATTTATTTAAAGGCTATTTATATCTGTAATTTAAAATGTTTTATTAAAATGTTTTTAATTGTTTTAGTGTGTGTATAGAAATTTGAAATACTATAAAATTACTCATATGTTTTGTTGTTGATGAATAATCATAATAAATAAAAGGTCATTTGAAAGGGATAAAATAATCAATCTTTTTAATTAAAAAAATTCTCATTATTTAATAATATTAACAAATTCCTAATTAAAAATTTATTAAGAATGTAAGCCTAATTTGGATTTAGGTATTTTGGTTGGAGTTAATTGAGATTCTTCTTTAAAAAAAACAAAGAAGGGAAGAACAGGAGAGGGAGGAGGGGGGAAACCGAAAAAGTACCCGGGAAAGAGAGGCGAGTGTCGCGACCTGTTAGCAATCGTCAAGGATTGATGAGGGAGATGCGAGAGTGCGCGAGTGGTAATTCAAGAAAGAGAAAAGCTTCAGAAAGAATGAAATTAGGGATTTAGAGCTTATTTCTAAAAATAAAATAATATATCTAAATATTTAAAAATGAATTAAAAAATAAATATCTTGCAGGTCCGTCCTGCATCACGTCCTAAATTATTGTTGAGCTGGTTATAGTTTTATAAAATATTATATCATTTAATTATGGCAAAATAACTCTCAAATATTTAGTTTATGTAAATAAATTTCAGTATACTTCTCAAAGACTTCTCATTTAAAAGAAAGTTTCTAAAAAGAGACTTGCTCTGATAATTTTTTTTTTTCAAATTCAAGAGATTTAGAAAAATATTTGTTTGATTTTAAAAACTTTTCTTGCGCAATATTCTTATTAGGACCAACGCTTATAAATAGCAGCTGATAAGCTGTTCGATGAGAACTTTTGGGAAAGATACTTTCACAAAAGTTAAATACTAAATTGAACAAGTAATGTCTTGATTTTCAAATTTTGATCGCAAAATTTTAACTTCTTATATCTTTAGACATCTTTGTTTTATTATTATCAAATAATTTATTATTATTCTTAGTGATCAAATTACCGTATTATTTCTTCAATTAATCATAACTATCCAACAATTTGCTGCACAATTTTTTTTTAAAGAAAAAGGGTCAACTACAAGAAAATTCTTTATCATTAACAGATCAAATCGAATTATTAAAATAACAACAAACTACAATTGCACAATAAGAAATTCCAGCTGTACCTAGCCTTATAAACTTCCATATCATTCAATACGTGCTATTCACTGCCAAGCAAGTTTCAAGATTAATATTTTAACAAAGAGAAAAATTGCAAGGACATCATTGTGCCATATTCATCAAGGGCTAGAATGTCCTGAAGTGCAGTTTATCCAAAGCACAGAATAAGATAGTGAAGAGTAGATCCCATTTTCGTGTCCATCTTTAACTACAATCCGGGTAAAGTTCATCTATTTATTTACAAATTCACTCATCATTCACAATTCTTTTGGGCCATGCATGTGTTTAACTGCTTATTGTGGTCAGTTCCTATCTATTTGCCACCTGCAAATACTCCACGTGTTGATAAGGGACTTCAGCAAGTAAGAACATGCTCTGATGATTTGATTGACATTGCATAACAATTCTGTTGATAGAATACTTCTATACATGAAACAAATCCTTGCATGTGGCAATACTGTGGAAGATTCTAGATCACTTATTCACCTTATCTTAGCAGTGGATAACTTGGTAGTCTTGTATATCCATCACCAGACCACGAACTCAACTGTTAATAGGAGAGTAAAATTCATATAAACAGCCATCCGTAAACACACGAGATATTAGAAGTACAGCTGATGTTGAGGACATAGAACCAATCTTACTCGGCAGACTTCATCAGTCTTTTGATTTCTCTAACAGCCGAACTTACAGCATAAAGTGTCATCTTTTTAACCTGGAAACGAAGAAAAATGGGTAGGATGCAATGCAATTTCAAAGGCGCAAGATATTTTAGTAGGTGACTTCTTTTCACAGCGCAAGAGCTATAATAATACAAGCATTTTCGGTGAAAAAGCGGCAATATGAGAACATGCAAAACCAGACCACTTAAAAGCAAAGCTAAGAGATGAGACAGCGAATAAACAAGCAGACCTCCAATTTATCCTCCTTGGCTGTGTGCTTCTTTGGGAGCAAACGAAACTCCTCAGTTAGTCGTAAACATTCTTCAACATTTTCCGGGGAAACAAAATCAAGTGCCACTTTTATACAAGACTGGTTGATGAAAAAGAATGATGTTAAAAGCAGTGTAATTATGAGAAAATAACATTCAAATGCACAACGGATGAAAAAAAAAATAATGCTATCATTTATTTTAGTAGAAGTTGCTCTTGTTTGCAATTCACTTCAACAGAAGCAAATTATTCATTTTGCCCACGAAGATATTCCTGCTGTTAGTTTTCCCCTAGATTTTGTGTTAAGAGGTATTTGATCACAAAAAGGATAGGAATCTCTCTTTTTTCCGGCTTTCTAATCTGATTCATGAAGAAATAAAAAAAATCAAAATACTTTGTCGCTCCACGTTAGTGAATACCAATTTTCTCTTGATTATTTTTTCCAATACTTCATTAAACTACAGTAACTATTGTATTTTTATAATTAATTAAATAAAAGAAATCACCGAAAGTTATTTAACTTCCCACCCTCTGACATGCATCTTAGCTTCTCTTAGTGACATTATATGCTTGCTTATGGTGTTGAGACCAACGATCAGAGGGTCCCAAAGCAGGTAGACCGAGAAATCAATTTTTACCCTCAAATGTGTAAGAGTGTATATTATACTAGCACGAAATCCAAATATACGGCTTGTCACTAGAAGATCAATTACTTGTCTATTTCTCACTTGGTGGGGACATCCAGCGGGAATGAAAACGGCCTCACCAAGATGTTGCTCGAAAGTCCAGGGTTCAACACCTACATTGAGCACAGAGCATGGGACAATAACTATGATGCGGTAATGCTTTCCAATTTTCTGATTTTTCAACCGGGCAAATCAAATGGCCATCATACCAAACTCTTGTTTCAATTGTTTCTTATGCTTCTCATTAAAGAAAAATGTCTGATCATGAATGGGATGTATAACCTGAAGCCAGCATCATAAAAGGATTTAGCTCTTCATATATGGTTAATAAAGTGAATACAGAGAGGCAATACTACTCACAGAACTTAAAGAATGATTGCTGATATGACGGAATTCCTTTTTATGCTTCCTCAAATACTCCATTACTTTTGGTACATCTTGACGACGGAAGATATCCCAAACAGCACCACCATAGACGACTGCAGCTTTATGATTAGTTTCTACAGAATCTTTCACCAGACCTTGTTTTGATTTTTGGGACTCTGGATCATCAGACAAAATGCCAAGAAAATCAGTCTTCGTTCTGTCATTAACATTGCTCTTACAATTAGAGGTTAAATTACACGCAGATTGAGTATGTTCATGTTTCCGTCCGAAAGTCTTGGTATGATCTGAAACTTCAGCAGATATTATATTAACATCATCTTCTCCAGAGAAACTTCTTTCGGCAACATTTCTGCAGGAGGCGGAGCAGTTTCTGCTCTCAACACATTGTTCTGTGTCTGTTGTTTCTAACTTCGCGGTTGAGCCATCTGATGCTGATGAAATGTTTATCTTCACAGTAAAGTCTTCCGATGCCGATGAACTTTCTAACTTCATAGTTGACTCTTTCACTGCTGATGAAATTTCTGGCTTCACAGTTGAGCCTTCCGATGCTGATGAAATATGTTCATCTACTTGGCGACCAGAAGAAAAACTGTTAACTCCATCTTCAGGCTTCCCATCATTTGCTTTGGGTTCTTCATCAATATCACTGCGTGCTTCACAGGATAGTTCCTGCATGTCTTCTTTTGCATATTTCTCCCGCAATTCTTTTATGCTTTCTTGTTGCCAAGCACCTATATTTACCTTGGTTGTGTGGGTCAGTATATTAACCTAAACCTCCATCACAAAATTATAATGCGATATCAGCTACAATTGTATACAGATGACCGCAGCTAGCTGAATGAGATAAGAACTCTGAATACAGACGGGCTCTTTAATAGATGTTATGTTTCTATGACGCGGAAGATTCGGGAAGTTACGATAACTAAACAGTCTTCAAATTGGTCAACTAGTAGATGAAGGTAGAAGTAGTGGACGCTTTGAGGCGCGCACGCGGTCGCACAGACAGAGAATGAGTGTGTGGGTGCTATGTTTCATCCATTTTAGTACAAGTATTAGAATAAGGCCTTCAAGGCCCCATGGTTGCATGGCTAAAAAACAAACCTTGAAATCCAACATATGTCAATACCACCAATCAATAACCCAGTTATCCTTCTAAATAAAGAATTTAGGCTCCATCAATTAATTTACCATTAAAACACTACAACCAGTAAATTCAGCTTCCAACTTTCATTCAATTATTATTTGCCCCAGCGTAAAGTTTAGAAGATGCTCAACCCTATAAATTTTTCTTCACCCAAAGGAATTTCTTTAATTTCATTGACATTTCCGTCATCCGATGACAACATAATTCAGAAATTAATCTCAGGCTCATGTAAAAGCTAATCCATAAAACTTATAAAACCTATGCAATTAATATTTGAGGAATCCAAATGAAACCCTGATTATGTTGGCAACAAGCACATAAGAGACCGACAATTTCCAACCGAGGTGCTCAGTCAAAATACCAGCAAATAGAGTTATCAATGATTGGCAGAGGACAACTGACACGTGCAGACTTAATAGACAAGCAACACAACAATACATCCACTCTTGAATCTTTAAATACGTAAAAGGCATAAAGGAAAGGAAAAGAAACTATACAACATAGACACCTTGGCTTCCCTCTAGAAATTAAGATGTGCAGAGATTACCGCATCAGACACATCACAGTGGAGTTTTGTCACCGAATCACCTCTACCAAGCTCGTCAAGAAACCCATAAGCAATATACGTTTTGGGTCCCAAATCTGGTTTTAGTGAGCCATCAGGAAGTTTACTGGCAAGATTCAAGAGGCCTGATTTTGGGTCAGTGTAGTCCCTGTAGGGCAGAGCTCTGAGAAACTCAGCACCATGCCTGGGCAAACGCTCTTCAAACCAGGTTGATGAAGGCCAATCTTTCAATTTCAGAATTTCTGGCCATCTATCCTTATGCATTCGACCCTCTAGGTAGCCTACAAAAAATTGGTGAATATTGATTTCCACCTGCGTAACAGTGAGATGTTGATAAATCAAATTGTCAATATATAATAAGATTATTCAGATTGATTTTCATCCGTTGGCATACCTCACACCAATCAAAGCAATCGATGGCCTTTACACTTCGTGTTTCCTCTTTATACTTCATTCTAGAACCTGTTTCTCTGAAAGCCCTCCACATAACCATTGGTTCCCAACTAAGGCCAGATGTCCTGTCCAGAACATTTCTCACAATCACAGGTTCTCCCCTTAACCAGTGCCTCTGGAAATGCTCAACTTCGTCATCAGACGTGTCAAGGGCATTCGGGCTGTATAAGAAATTATCTTGAGCATCATCCCTTGATGCTGCCTGCCTGACCTCATAATTGGATTTCCCTTCAACCAAATTTGGCCAGCATAAAGAGCATTTCGCAGAAACATCAACGTCCATGTGTCTGTAGGCTCTTGTGAGGTCCTCTGCATTCTTTAACAGCTTCACCACCCAATCAGCTTTGAAAGTGCGTCTCAGTTCTAGCAACGCAGTGCCACAACCTCCATGCTGTTTTGGAGGACATGGAATGTTACCATCACTATTAGCTCGCCATTCAGGAGATGGAGAAGTTCCATCAGTTTGGACATCAAACACATTAGGTAAGAGTTGGCTTTCCCAACCATATCCTTCCGTACGAGTCTTGCTACTTATCGAATCTTGGTTTCCATCTTTCTCTGCAAACTGTTCACGCAATGTTTCAGCTTCTACGCCTCCAGGTTGGCAACCATTTCTAAGCTCTTGACAGCAGGCAAGACATAGGTCGTAAGAGCAACCGAGGTTGGGACAGCTTCTGTAAAATCCAACAATCGATGTGTTGCAATTGTCGCTGCCATTCATCATAGATCCACAACCAAGGCACAAGAACATTAAATTTGATATTGCAATTCAAAAATGTAATATATGGAATTCACCAAAGTTTTGAATGGACCCAAAAGCTTATAATACTTTTTTTCTCTTTGAAATTGTTCACAGCTTCATTGATCGTGTATCAAGTTTTTACATGGATTGTATTACATCAACACCTTTTCTTATGCAAATGTAGTTGCTTAATGGAAAAAAAACACTGCATCAGTATCCACAAATCAGCTGAATGGGTGAGGCAAGTAAAGCATTCCATTGCACAAGAACCCAGATAAAACCAAAGGTGAAGAAAAAGATACAGGTACAAGTTCAAAGCAATAACAAAATTCTTTCCTCAAAGCGTCATTACTCTCCCCCCCCCCCAAAAAAAAAAAAAAAAAGCAGCAATGAACATACCAGTACATACGCTCACTTCCATCTAACTTAGTCCTTGTTATGTTAATTTCTTGCAGTTGATAACCTAACACCAGAAACAAGAACAAAAAATCAATAAAAAATTATATTTATATATGTCTGTATCCCCAAATAAGTTACCTCTCATTTTTGCTTCAGTGTCTAGCTCAGAGCTCTGCTCCTTATAAATATGCCTAAGAACGGGCAGAGCATTGTATAGCAAATAAAGTAGTCGTTCAATTTTGGCACTGTCATCCATTTCTGGATGCTGTCCAAGGAAGAAGCGAAGTTAGACAACATTAAGAGAGAGCATATAGATGATACATTTTCAACCTCACAATTTTGATTAAATCATATGGAAAGAAGCCACGATAAGAAAGGAAATCATCTACCCTTGGCACAGGAACCTCTCGCAGGCAAGCTTTGCAATTGCAATTGCCACAACAATATGGACATCTATTCTCAACTTCCTCTTTTGCTTTTCCTGGGTACCTATTTAATCTCATTGCAATGAGCAGCTAGCTACATTAGAAGGCTTAAAGCTTTTAATGTACATTAATGCAAAAAAACTAGTCAACTCCTTCATTACAGTTACATAATACTCATCAGTATGAACAAGAAATGTAAAAATTAAGATTAATACGAATAAATGCTACCACTTCTTGAGGCAATCAAAACAGTAGCGTTTTCTGCCACACATTAAGCAGATGACTACACCATTCTTGTCACTCCGCAGGCACTGATGACACATCAAACTTCCACCCTCCTTTGTTTTCCTGAGCAAATCCTGAGAAGCCAACATTACGGAGAAAGTCAAAATTAAATTCGTCACTATTGCAATTAATGACTCCCAGCATATGTATAACTCATCAATGTTTGCCATAAAAATGATATTTATCATCCTACTTGAGCATGTAAAGCAATGATAAAATTTTACCAGGCAACAAGGAACGCTTATTCAAATAGGTCTTCATCCAACCAAATATCAACTGGACAACTCTCAATAGCACCTCTTCATCCCTCATGAAGATTTACAATTTGACACGGGAATTATTGTAACAGCAATTGGTTTCAGTTAGTCAATGAATTAGTTAGTAGTTAGTTAGAAAGATATCTAGTTAGGAGAATCAATAACTCAGTTGCATTCATTCCTAGGTTGGCATCACAACCAAGCATACTCCATGCTATGATGCATTCACATCTAACGGGAATATACCTTGAACATCTAGTTGACAAGGCAACACCATATTCTGAGACATAAGCATTAATTCCCAAATTGGCATCCAACCATTCAGATTTAACCAGATTTCATACTATACTACATTATTCCATGTTGCATTCACCTTTCAAGGAAAAGCACCTCACTTGTTTCATTGACAAAGCAACACCATATTTCCGAGACCCAAGCCTCCCTCGATCCTAGGTCTTCAACAGTACCTCCTAATCACTAGAGGAACTATGTTGCCCCTCATGCCCCTGAATAAAGAAAATTCCTCATAATCCTCCCAACTGAGAGACAGGATACAAGAAGTTCATCCTTCCTATAGATTCTGAACTCTGTCTAAATTTAAACGGGGTCTTCTGATCTTGAATAGCTTTATTGATTCTACGTGGGGACGCGGGTCTGCAACTAACACGATTTTTATTAAGTATGTGTCTTCATAGATTGGACTCTTGGGAACCATTGGTATAGATGTAAACTAGGGATTAAACCCGATTTCAATCCTTGCCTTCGAACATCGTCCAGACAGCAAAGCAAGATATTTAGGTGATTTGGGAAGTATACCCACCAAAGAACAGATCTCAAATATAATGACCGTGCGGGCAGAAAAAAGCCAGATCATCTTATTCAAGAGCCTTGGGCCGTGTAGGGATTTATGCATGATCAGGATTTGAAAATGATAGACTGAACTTTATTGACAAGTTGATCACTTCAGTCTTATAAAGAGGCTTCAGTCCGGCCTGTGATCTCTTCGATGACCAGAGTCTCTCACCTTAGGGTGAATATACCTCTTCAAATTTGAACAAACCTCCGCTCTAAAAAGTTTTTCAATACAACTAAAGAGTTCGTGCTTTCAAGACGGAATAAGCAATGATCACATGCTTTGTTGGCGAAGCATGTGGTCGCATCTTACTACACCTAAAGGTCTAAAAGCACTCTTTCAAAAAGGAATTTTGCGTCAGAAAATCCCCTCTCCTATTTTGTAGGAGCATTATGCTGCTGTAGAATATAACCCGTAAAAATGCGAACAAAATAGCTCATATTTTCAATCCCGTACCGGAACCGAAATTAGCAGCATTTCTTTAAGACCTACCGTAACCATGGAATGTTTCTCCAGCGAGGAATAATTCCGCCCCCGCTCTTCATCGGAATTTACCTTCAACGCTGCCTTCATGGTGTTATTTACTCTTCTACCATCACTCATTTTGTTATGCTTCGAACTAGCCGAGAGCTTCAACTCTCGAACTCGGACCGATTTTCGTTTCAACTCGGAATCTGACACTGCCACCTCCGATTCCCTGCAGACTACAGCATTCTTCCTTTTCCTGGAGCTGGAATCATGGTATATCTCCACCTCCTCTCCTCCTTTTTCCTTGGTTCTATGTTTCAGGTCGTAACTCTCCCTCTGCGCCAGGTGCTTCTTGCAGTACGACTTTCCCCGCGACGCCACCGCGGAGCACCGCCAAGAACCTGCGCATCGCTTGCACCGCCGAACGGCCGACGACTCCATGGGGACGTGAGAAAACAGCGATTGACGAAAGACATAAATCGTCGGACCTAATGCATGAAACTGTCATGGGCAGTGTTACTATATTAGCGCCAAAAGAAACAAGTGCGACGGACAAATAGCGCCAAAAGGTCGGATTCTCGGGCTAAAAGAGAGCGCTATTTATTATGCTTTTACATTTATGTTAGTTTATATTCACTATAGAAAATAAGTTTTTAACTTATTATAAAATTTTATTGTGCATAAATGTGTTTTTTTCAAAATAATTTAAAAATTAAGTCATACAATAAAATTTGCCATAAGTTCTATTGTATATCTTGAATGGATTGCATATAATTTTCCTTTAATTTTGGTATTAATATGAATTTTGGTATTAATATGAAATTCTGAAAAGTAGAAGTTAATAAAAAAATTATTTAAATATGTGAACTTTGAAATTTTATAAAAATTAATCACTAATCAGATTTTAAGTAAAACGATACATAGCATGATAGCGTCGTGAGCTTCTTATCAAATTATGAAACCAGTACAAAACATTAAACCCCATTACATTTTTCAAGTTCTGTAATGGCACTTAATTTTATATGTATTGTTTTTTTTAAATACTACTGTTTTATTTTATTTTGAATAAAATTGTTCTTGCCTTTAAAATAAAAAATAAAAAGAAGGAGGAGGGGGAATTTTTCTCCTTTTGATTTTTTTTTTTGGTTGCCTAACCAGTTCACCGGAGTTTTGTGAGTCTCACAACAGGGATTTCTGCATACATTGAGACTCAAACTCGAGATCTCACTTAAGCAGTATCAAGCTACTTACCACTTGAACCAACTCCTATTAGTTGTCCTTTTGATTTGTGAATAGTATGCAGCTTCTTACTCAAAAAAAAAGAAGAAGAAATGCATTGATGATTTAAGGCCATCAAATCTAATTGAAGCCCAGCCCAAATCCATGACAACAATTATTTTACTGCCTAAACACATGGGCTCGACCCATTTTTAATTTTAGTCTAAATGACACGGGCAATAAATTCTTTCATTCTGTAAGCATTTTCCCTTTCGCGTGCTAAAAAATTACATTTGTATATTCTCCTTTCTAAGAAAATTTAATCTATATAGGTTTTTATGATGTCTTGTTATGACGTGGTCGTGGCATCTCTAATTTAACAGCAACCAGATCATAAAACAATTACTTGTAGCTGCATTTTCTTTCTTACAATCTAGTTATTATTTTACTTTAGTTTGAGAAGTATTATTGTTAAAACTCATAAATTTCTAATTCAAATTATAGAATCATAAGTAATATAACCATAAAAATACTCTCTTATCAAATTATTTAGTTTAAAAATATCAACACATATAATATAAATCAAATCATTATTAAAGTCCAAATTAACTCATTTTTTAAAATTTAATTGGACAAATTATTGTCTAAAACCAAATAAATCAAATCATTTTGTAAAATTTAATTTTGAAATGATAATAATAATTAAATATTCAAAATATCATTAACAATATTAAAAAATTAATAATATTAAAATTACACCAAAAAATTTTAAAAAAAACAAACAAAAATAAATGACCTAAACAGGCCTGCCCGTTTAGACCCTCGATCCTATAGGGTTAGCCCTTTTAAACCCGTTTCCCATTTAAGCTCAGTCATCACAATTTTTGGGCCTAAATGAGCTTGACCCATTTTCCCAACTCTAATCTCAACGGCAGTGATACTTGTTATGTTTGGATCAGATTTCAGACTTAAGTTTGACATTAATATCTTTGTGCGCATGTGAATTTAAATTGTATAAAAAAAATGCAAGATTCATTAATTTACACACTTCAAGCCATAATGCTCACTTTCAAACCACATACAATGTATAGGAGGGCCTAAGTACTTTTAATGCAAACTCACCTAAAAGTAGCTCTCACACAAACAGACATATATATATATAATTAATACATAATATGATTGAGATGCATGTATGAGTAATATTTTCTAAGCGCATGGACTTTGAAAAGCGCGTGATATTTCTGAAAACATATGACAGATTATAAGAGTGGAAAAACATGTGGTGTTGTGGAAGTAGTGAAACATGTTGTTCGTATATATCAGATTTGTTTTTAAAATCAGAGGGGTTAGGTGAAATATCCAATCACGGACTATTTGGTGGGAGAGGGAGAGCATGCATGCACCATATGTTTAGAGCATCGTTTTGTGATTTAGAAAAGAGAAAATGAGAAACACATGCTTTGAAATCAACACATTGTTGGTTTCAAAACCAACACCTATCGGATTCAAAACCATAGGTGTCGTCTTCAAGAATTGGCCCTCTTTTTATCCCACCATTTCAATCCCTTCTATTGCTCATCATCAATTCACTCATATCTCTTTCTTCTTCATCACTTCATACTTGTTGGGAAATTCCTTCCTTTTGCTTATGATGTTTGTTCATATCTAATATTTTTTGTATCATGTTTCTTAATTAGCCAGTTTCATATGACATTTCTTTATTTTCCAAGGGTTTATCTTCAAGGAATTCTCTTAGTACACTTGTATTTGGAACATTTTATCTTATATTTTATAATATAATTGCTTCTATTCGATAATTCCTTGCTGACCCTGACCCGGCTCACAATACAAGAAAAACAGGTCTGGGAATATCATGAAATTAAAGGACCGGGAAGAAATCTTCAAGGACCAAAATATTATGAAATGTCCGATAAAATTGAAATTAATTAAATTCTATTGGCCGGTCATTAAGGTCTGCTCCTCTTGTTGTTAACGTAGAATTTAATTAAAAAGTTAATGTTGGTCTTATATATAAGACTTATTTTACATGTTTAGCAATTTATTGCAAATTAGCTCTTTTGATATTCCCTCAATAATAATCAAGTAGGAGAGGAAGGAAAGAAAATTAAGAATTACTATGCTTAGGGTATTTAAGAAAAAATATATCATGCATATTAACTAATTTAACAAACATATTTAATTTATTCAAATTAATTAATTATGCCTTGTATTAAGGACCAGAGGAGTATTAGTAAACCTTTTTTTTTGTTATCCATGTTTTAAAAAAGATTAGGATTTTTAACTGATAGTATTAGTAAACTTCTTTTTTTTTCTTTTGGTTGTCCATATTTTAAAAAAGATTAGGCTTTTTAAACTGATAGATAGTATTAGTAAACTTCTATATTTTTTTTGTTATCCATATCTTAAAAAAGATTAGGCTTTTTTAACTGAAACCTTTTTTTAAGTGTGAATGTGTGATGTTGCAAGTTTAAATTCTCAATAGGAGGTAGAGGATAAGATGGATAATTGTGAATGATTAGGAGAAGAATCTATGTTTCATTCTGCGTATTGGAATGTTCGTCCTTTTACTATCAGGAGCATGGTAAAATATTGTTTGGAGCAATTGAGGCTTGAAAGATAAAGCTGACATCAATTTATTGCTCATAAAAGAGCAATTAACGTTGGTCTGCGTTGTGAAAAAGAGAGGAGGGAGAAGAATTGAGTGGAGATAGATGACGAGACAAAATGGTGGGGACAAGGGTGTCGTTTTTAGCATTAACGACAAAAAAGACCCCACACCCCTTACTGAGGCAGTGATCCTTCACAGCCTCCAAAGGGCAAAAGACACAAGAAGGAAAGCCCTTCAAATAAGAAAGCGTGTGAATTGTGAAAGAAAGAAGCACCAAATGAAACCCCACCAAAAACACTTGATTATGATTATTATTACTCATCTTATGATTGATTACTATTGAGCAGACATCACACAAGGTTCTTTTTTTTTTCTTTTGAAAGGGTACATAAAAAAAAAAGTGGGATGAAGATATTATGGCCAAGAAAAAAAAGCCCACACAAGTGTGTTTGACCTTTTTCTCCCATGTTCAGTGTACTATGGCTTGTGTTCCCTCTTTAATCCGTGGCCCCTAAAAATTTTGGTTCTTATGCCTTGTGTGTATTTTGGTTAGCTGCCTCACATTCAACATGATTCCCACGTTCCCCTCATTCTCCTCAACTTTTTGTGAGTTATTTCGATTCTTAATATATGGACTGGTTAAGAAGTTAAATCATCTAATTTTAAATATAAGACATCAATATACCCGGTATATTACATTTATCATTTTTTTCTCAAATTAAATTATCTACTCACTTATTAGTTGATATGTAATCTAATCTTATCCAGAAGCGGTGGACCTTTTAGCTTGTACAAATTCAACAATGATGCGCTTCAACTTGATATCAGCAATCCACTGAACTTGTACGTGCTCTGCTATATTGTGAGCAATATTCCTTTTTATTTTAGGCTGGCTAACTATATTTTTCTCTCTTCTCCGGTTCTTAATTACCTTGTAAACTCATCATCATGTCTTTTACCGAATTCAGAGAAATTAAATCATATGTCGCATTTGTTGTAATTAACTGACTTATTTGACCTTTTTAATCTCTCTAAATTAATCAGCAACTCTGATGGGAAGGACCGGATAGAGTTTTTTTTTTTTAATATATAAATTGAATTGGCATATATATATGTGATGGGACCAAGTGTTTCGTTTTTTTGAGTAATTACAGTTCATTGTAGATAAGTTTGTGCAGATAATTGTGCAACGTGTTTGCTTGACTTGATCGTTAAGAGGTGGGACGTGGCCAACTTTTGGATCTAATAATGCTTAAATCTGGATTAGTGGACGGTATTTATGCTACATAACTACTCTCTCCGTCCCTTATTATAAGATCGTTTTAATTAAATTATGCGGTTTAAGAAACTGTTAAAATTAGTTTAAAACAATTAATATGTAGCAAATACAATTTTTTTCCAAATACACCCCTCTATATAAATAAGTAAATGTGAGAAAGTAATAGTGAGACAAATAAAGAAAAAGCATATGTTAAATGCATCAAATTAGGAGTTAAATAAGTAATAATATATTAAATACTCAGACAAACTTAAAGAGAATCTTATAAAAAGAGACAAATCTATTCAAAAAAATAGATCTTACAATAAGGGACAA